CTCTCTCTCTCTCTCTCTCTCTCTCTCTCTCTCTCTCTCTCTCTCTAATCACCTCATCACACTGCACTAATGTACATAGACCATGCTGGCGTGGTTGCGCTGGCCCCTTGTACGGGTGTGGTCCAGCGCTTTCGAATGAGTGAGTGAGTGTGCGTATCGTTTCCCACATACATGCATGGAGCCGTTTGGCACCCGTTTGGCATGGATACTAATACTAAATATGCATACGAGAGGCACACCAAAAAGGCGCACACCGCACGCCGTCGCAACACTCATAGCCCAACCCTTCTGCATATAAGACCTCTCGAAGCAGGCCGTCTGTTCCTCCTTACTAGTTTTCGATACCCAGGTAGGATCCAAATCCGTTTTACCTCGGGGGATCTAGTCTATGCGTTAAGCCAGCTTGAAAATATCATCCGTTTTCTTTTCTTTGCGTGTGTGCTGTACAAGCTTGGTTCCAGAGGATTCTCGTACAAAGACAACGCAACGCCAAATACTCAATACCCTCTTGACTTTCATACATTTTGGTATCGGTGAGGGCAAGGGAACGATATAGTTGTTGTTGTCGTCCCGTCCTCTGCCCATCAGGGCAACGGGTGCCTTGACCAATCAGCGGCTTCAAATTGTACGACAAAAAAACGTTTGTTTTTGGCACCTGCGCATGTTCTTCGGCACTCTTTGTCTAACAGATCCTCACACCAGGTGACACTCGCCCGGCTGTTCCGCACGGTGTATGCACGGGGTACGATAACATGCACAGAAACAGATACCGTTGTCAACACTCAACATCCAGCGACCAACTACCGCACCGCCGCCCGCATATTATTTATGGGAGTACAGGACTGTGAGACTTTGAAAAGCGAAGGAGGCGTCTGCAACTTGCGCTTAGGCATTGATTGCTGCCGGCGGGGTAAGCAGTACTGGGAACCTTTCGTGCCCTGGTACCAACCTTAACGTTGGTCGTTAGTTGCAAGAGATCTACTACCGATGGGGATTTCCTCAGTTTTGTGGCAGGGCTGCGTTCATGCGCGTGGGTAAGAAAATACAGCGTTCTGTTCATGATTTGAGTGAATTGCAAGCCTTCTCCAGATCGTGGAAGGCATGGCTGCGAGTTGTACTACCGCACGGTGTACAGGTTGAGACGCTACCGGGGGCGTCTACATAGCCCCTTTCTCGCTGGCGTGGTGGTCGCCCTTGAAAGCAAAAGCTGCTGATGGGAATGGTACCGGGTCACCCATGTACACGACATGCTGTCTTTTCCGTGAGGGACCACAGCAAGTGAACAACAAAATATCTCGCCGGAACGGTGTTGTCATCGACAAACAGATGCACATGTCTCGATTTATTCTTGATTTATTCTCGATGAGATACCACGGTCGTGGCAATGGTGAACCATGGATCTGAGTCAAAAACTGTTTGTTGGAATTAAGAGACGTTCGAGTCTACATAGCGCTACCTGGTACTTCCGTGTAACAGCAGTAGAGAAAAATGACTCATCATGGGAACCCCGGTGGCCTCTCGAAGGCGGCGTCCTCGACAAAGCACCTCTAATCCCACAGAGAGGCAGCCCCCTGGGCACGCGAAAATACCTAGAGACGTGTGGGCACAGTCCAGCAAACGAATCGTGAGGTTCGTTGGCGAAATTTATTTGCTCTCGGTCACGCTGCTGACTCTTGATTCGATCTGCTGCAGGCTCCTTTTTCAGAATGGTAATCCTGTACTTGGCCAATGCTCGAAACCAACGACAGAGTCACCCGACAGTCAGTACGATGCTTCACAAGATTCTACAAACCAAAGGTATGAAGTCAACGGAGAACAAACCCGTCGCCAGGTGTCGCGTTGTGTAGCGGTCAGCGTTGAACCAACACCCGGGAAGAAGGATACGTTGCTGACTTTACCCATTATGGCCTTTACGAGACAATTGACAAACCTAACGCGGGACATTGCCTTCATGAAACCCAGCTTTCCGCCTCCGCAAAACACCACGGCTTAATAGCAATCCTCAACACCTGAGGCGACTTCTTATGGAATCGTCTTTTTGGCCATCCCTTTTAACGACAAGGGACAACCGTCCAAAGAAACGTGGCGTATGACGAGCGAAAAACAAATTGACAAAACTATCGTCTCCTATGCACGTGCACGAATCTAGAATCTGGCTCCGCTCAGGATCATACGTGCCGTCTCTGGGATATACCCCCCCTAGACCTTGCTTCCCGCCCGCGCCACATCGCCAAGAAATCGTACCCATAACACATTTCGCCTCAGGTCGCTCACTGGCGCGAGTCTAGAGTTGGACGAGAGAGAGAGGCCGCCTTCCTTCCCCCATCACATGCGCAAGTGCTTCGCAAAGAACTGCTTCCCGCGATTCACCGGAGAGTTGCCCCCGCCGGCTCTCGGCGACGACAACCCGTTTCCCCCGCCGGGAGGTGTGTGCGCCCCGCTCCCCGAAATACCTAACACCCCGGAACCGGAGCTGTCGCGGCCCGTGTGCGTCGGCGAGGTTAGGCTAGAGAACGATCCACCAAAGGCGCCGCTGCCGCCGCCAAAGCTCCGGCCCCCGGCGGAGGAGGGGGACGCGAGGCCGCTCTCTTCGCCATCGTCTATGCGGGAAGAGCTTCCTCCGCCGTTGGTGGAGCTTGGCATGTTGTTGTTGCCGCCGTTGCGGGATGGGGGCCCGCCGCCGCCTATCTCGGTGGCCGCCCGCTTGACGGCGACGGCTCCCGGGTCGAGGGTGTGCTGGTAGCACAGCGTGCAGAGCTCCTCGTACCTGGCATTGTCATTGTTAAATGGTGTGGTTATTTCGAATTTCCAGGTTGGAAGTCGCATTTAGGACACGCGCATTGAACCGCTTGAACCGAAAATAAATGAGGGAGATACACATTTTACAAAACGTTAGCCTCCAAGAAACCGGGTTTCGGGTTGGCATAGCGTTGACGTTGCCATTTTCCCGTCTACTGTAGGTCTCCACAATCATGCCCAACGATGGCCAATTACTGCCGCAAAACCCAACGCCCTTCACCTTCCTGATAACCCTACTCCCTTGCGTAAGGCCACATATGCAGTGGTGCCAAGAGATTTGTGGCCGCCCAAACACCTTCGCCTGGGGATGCTCAAGAGTACGAGCCAGGTTGAATGTTACCTCTGTGTTTCGCGATTTTACCAGGGCGACCGGCCCAAATGATGCGGCCTAACACAGGGCCCACCACTTTTCTCAGGCAAAAATACTTGAAGCAGCGCACAAGCAGTGTCTCCATCTCATTGCAAAATTGGCCTCAATCGCGGTGTCTTTCAATCCAGCTGTGAACGTCTGCTTACATCCAATTGTGACTGTCCAACGGTTGGTACATCTTCACGCGAGCTGCGAGGGACGCCAAACGAACCTATGAAATGCTCGCTCGTGTTCGGAGCCGGGGGGTATGTATCGACCTACCCGGCGAACCATTTCAGAACTCAGGATACCACAACAAGGAACATTTTCGAAACATCCATCAATACTGGGAACTCCCCTACCGTAACGGAGGGAGCCGCCATCACCCTCTTGGGTGGTGGCGGTACACCCGCCCCATACCGCATAGGATGCGTGTCAGACCTACTCCACAACGCGTCGGTGCAAACCACTTTGTTTCTGGCTTGACTTGCCTCGAGAACATGGCAAACAGCGTGTCGGAGAGCTTCGCCCACAGCGGTCCCAACAGCTGGCCCTCTTTGGTCACGTGCTTGACCATCCGCTGGTGTGTCGCCTTCAATCCTTCCACAATTACCTGCCACCCGCCCCAAAAAATTCAGAAACGTAGGTGTATTGGATAGCGGATTGGTGCGAGATAAAGACAAACATTGACCGCACAGATCATAACTAAGACCTGCACTTCTGAAAGCACTGAAAGAAAAATAAAAAAAACAGGAATGCGGGCGCATTGGAAAGCGGAATGGTGTGAGAGAAAGACAAACATTGACCACACAGACCATAACTACGACCTGCACTCCTGAAACCACCGAAAAAGACATAGTCCTTTGTGACCACGGGTTAGAGTAAACAGCACGAGTGCTGTGAGCATTGATTTTGAAGTGTGCAGACAAAAAAAAAAAAAACGCAAGAAGAGCAGCATTGCCAAGCAGACCTTCATGTCCCCCTGCTTCTTGAGCGTCGCCTCTAGGTTGCGTTTCGGCTCATGGTAGGTCACGTCCGCCGCTCCCACCGTCATGGCAAGGTCTTCCACCTTGGCGAAGAACTGCGTCAGGACGGGGAACTGGTAGCCTACCAGCCATTCCAGGTACCTGCGCGGGAGAATAAGTGTGAAGGGCTGGCTGGTCCCGTGTGGACATTCACCTTTCTGGGAAACGTCTTGTTGTCGAGGGTGACTATGCCGCCAACCAAAGAAGAACCAAGCTGTACCAGCAGGGGCACATTACGGCAGCCGCAAATTGTCGCACGTTGGCGGTGTTTCTGGCGTTTGGATCAAGTGTTTCTTGCTTTGTTTTGTCCTTGTCGTATTGATCAGTTTCCTCTCTCATGTCCAAGGCTAGCCCGCCATCCAGGTACACCTGCGCGGATCAGACAATATGCACTGTACCCCTTCCTGCACTTTCGCACGCTGGCAATATTTCTTGCGTTTCTTGTGTAACAAGTATTATATTTCATTGCCCTTCTCTTTTATTGGTCGCTTTCCTCTCTTTTGTCCAAGGCTAGCCCGCTAACGACTCCAGGCACACCTGCGCGGAGCAGGCAACATGTTTCATTCCTACACTTTCGCACGCTGGCGGTATTCTTTTCTCGTGCTACACGTGTAAATTTTCATTTTCTTTCTCTTGTGTTGGTCAGTTTCCTCTCTGTTCTCCCAGGCGAGGCCGCCAGCCACTCCAAGAACCGTAAATTGCCTACCTGCGGCGAGATCACATCTGTTGGTTGAACTTCTGGAACGTACCGTTACGTCAAATAGTTGGTGTATTTGTTTCGGTTCCGTGAGAACTCGATTGCATAGTCCACAACGAAGTGGATTCATAAATCAGACGATACCATTTTGGAAAACTCTCTACGAGACGATTCCACCTTCGCCATTGCTACTCTTTCCGCCGTGGAATGAGAGCCCGAGCCCTGAGAATCGGGCCAGGGTGTATGATATCTTCTGCCAAGTACGGCATGAAAATCGGGTAAGGGGTCCGGGGGTGTGATATCTTCCGTCACCTACGGTATGCATACTGTAGCATAAGGTACGATAGGGCAAGGAAAGAGCTGACCTCGTGGTGGAGACTTCTTCCAGCTTGTCCGCCTGCTCCACGTACTCGCTCAAAACCTGCACCTGTGGTTTGTCGCGTATCGCACGGTACAGTAGTCCAACAGGAGGGATGCTGTCGGCGCGTCGTGACGAAAGGGGCTATCTGGCTGTTTCTCGGCCACAACTTGCTTGTGACGTGAGGCAAGAGGTCTTTCGTGCTGCGGTCCTTGTGTTTTATCGTGAAATCGTGAAATCCACCCCTGTGGCTGACGACCAGAAGGACAAACACCACCACCAACAACAACAAAAAACAGCAACACCAACAATAACCGAATAATCACAACACCAACAACGACCCCCACAACGGGAGGGGATTGCGTCAGTCTTGACGAACACGCTCGCTCCCTCCTTTCACCTTACCTTAAGCGGGCGCATCGTGGCGGCGAAGAAGTGGTAGTTCTCCAGCCGAACCATGTGCTCGTACTTGGGGTTCCTAGACGCGACTTCTTCAATGTGCTCGAACAGCGCGATCACCAACCTCTGGTAGGCCTTTTGAGCCTCCCCTCCCTGACACCAACCGTTCGGCGGGGACAGAGTCGCGGCCGGGACGACTGCAGCGTTAGGGGTCTCGGGAGCGTCACGACGGTAGGACTGGGTCAAAGTGCACCACGAAATCGAGCCGGGTCCTCAAAGTCGTTCGTTGAGACCATTTCTTGTTTAAGCTCGTCTATCATACAGTGATAATAACAGAGATAGATAAAAAGCGTTGGGGCACGCCTGCCTCGAAAGCTTGACGTGCAAACTTTGCCTTCCGCTGCGTGCGGAATCGACTCAGGTCTTCGTGAGGAAGGATAATGCTAACGTCACAAACTAATTGACAAAACAACACAAAAACCAAAATAAAACTACAAAATCATTCTTTGAGCCATAAACATGCACACCTCTCTCACTGCTGTTAGCCACGGCAGCATAAGTAGAATCGACGAAACAAGAAACAAATACTTCGCCGTAGACATGCAGACACCACCGTAGTCTGATACTATCGAGTAGAATCGCGAGAGCAGGGTCGCGTGTCAAGGGGCATGCACACGCACACCTTTCGCTGTTCCTCTCGACGAGTACAATCGAACCAACAAAACAACAACTCGTTCGTCGCAGCCATACACAGACATGTAAACCTTTCATACGTACACAGCAGTAGCATACCCGACAGACAAAATAAAAGGAGACAGCCATAGACATGCACACCTCTCGCTGTTCCTCTCGACAAAGTACAACCGATTCGACCAAACAACAACTCATTCGCGGCAATCATACAAAGACAGCAGTAGCATGTCCGACAAAACAAACAAAAAAGAAGACAGCGTTAGTCGTGCAAACGCACCCATACCTCGTTCTGCTCCTTGGCCTTGGCATTGCCCCGGGTGCCAACGACGGCAGCGTTGGAAGCCGCCTGGAGCCTCTTCAGCAGGGTTGGGGCCTTTGCAACGGCGGCGAGAATGCCCGCCTTCTTCGCGTCGCCCCTCTGGGCTTGAATCCACGACACCTGGGGCATTTATGAAAAATATAGGTTGTATAATCTTGCCGTCGAATAACAAAGATTAGGGCAACTGTACCAGAAACGAAATGTATATACATACTCGAAGCATATATATAACGTTCGTTCGAAGTAATAATTGTGTTGTCGCCAGGAAAAAAGATTCGGGGCCTTCTTTCAGAAAAAGGAATATTGAGTATCGTTGTTGTCCTCGCAAAAAAACAACATGCGGGGAATTGTTCAAGACCAGAAAAAAGAAAAACAGTAGCGGCAAGCCCCCTCCCACCTGGTCCTTGATGAACTTGCCGAAGCGGTGCATGAGTAGCCCCTTGAATTCCATAAGGATGCCCAGGGTAACGAGGTGCGCCTGTTTCAGCTGCGCCTGCTCAATGAGGGCCAGCACCCCCAGCGTGTCGAAGGGGTTGTCCCCTAGGTCGGACGCGAGGCCCTTGAAGATCACCTTAAGCTCGCCGAAGCCTACCTCCAGCATCCTGGATGACCGCCATGCCGTCGAACACAAGACAAAAGCGGCAGCGGCGGCGGCGGCGAAGATACAGAGAGGGAAAGAATGAACGTTCCAATATGAATTACAAAAAAATGGAACATATGAGGTGCGATATCAACGTCAAAATAATGAGATTTAGTGTCAAGATGGACGAACGGAGTACGTCAGAGGCATGCGAGTGAAAGCGGGGTCAGGGTCTCAACCATGTTCTTGCGTTCTTGCCAAAGCTACAATCTCCGACATCCTGGACCCATGAGGCCGCGACCAAAAGACAGCGGCGGGGGCGGCGAAACAGAAGCGGGGTCGAGGAAAGGGAATCACAGAAATATGGTCCCGAATATGTGAAGACCTGTAAGAGGCCTAAATTTTTATATTTCTGATGGTGATGGGTGATTGTTGTGGTTTGATTGTTGTTCCTCTCACATCGATTTGTAGGGGTCGCTGAATGTTTTCAATACTCACAATCAGTGACCCCCTTTGCCTCATACAATGTGCCCCCCCCCCCCCCCCCCCCCCCCCCCCCCCCCCCCCCCCCCCCCCCCCCCCCCCCCCCCCCC